TTAAAAAATTGCTACTGCATATTATCTTGGCTCTGATTCATCTATCAATCCATCCATCCAGAGTTATAAATGAAATTCATAACTGGGAGCTGGGAGATGGGGAGGGGAAGAGTCTTGTGAAGCCAGCATTCCAGGCAGATCAGGGCTCTCATGATCTACCCCTGCCTACCTGTGTCCCTTGTCACTACCTACCCAATACTTGCAGAGCCATGCTTTCCTGGGGCTTTGTGCCATGTTTTCTGGCAACTTGGAAAACTCCTATTTATCCTTAAGAATTCTGCTGACATATCATCCCTCCCCCATGAAGAATTAAGTGTTCTTTTCCAAAGAATTGTATTACTTCCATTAGTGCAGACTCCATACTCTACTTCACAGTTAGTGGCTTATCTGTCTCCTCCGGAGAACACAGAGTCCTCCCCTTGCAAGGACTGTCTCCTCCAGTCTTGTCTCCTTGGGGCACTGTCCAGTGTCAGCACGGAGTGGGCACCCGTATGTATGGCTCTATTTCAACTGGCCCTCAGGTTCATTTAGCCCCAGAAAGAGTTTTCAACATTTTCCCTTAGAAAAGAACGACCAGCCTGATTTTGAAAGCCCTTAGTAGCTTCCCCTGATGGATACAGTCTTGGGTGTCACCATGGCTTTCAGACAAAGTGGAGCCCAGACCTGTCTTTGCGGTTAGTTGAAACTCCTATTTTCACACCACATCCCAACGCCAGGCTGAGCTCAGGACAATGGCCTGCAGAGGAAGCAGCCTCCAGGCTCTTCCAGTGCCCCAAGAAGCTCTCCCCGCCTTCCCCTCTCCTGTCAGAACAGTGAAGCCCCAGCTCTGGCAGGCAGGGAGTCCAGGAGGCAGGCTGGCAGCTTGATGGAACTTTCCGTCAGCTCTCTGACATACAGGGCATTCCCGGCCCTGACTCAGCCTGAATGTGGCCCAGACATTGATGGGAGAGAACAGGAGGCAGCCGTTGAGCCCCTCCACTGCCCCGAGCTGGGTCGGCGGCTTTGACAACCTGTCATGTGCAGTGGGTCAGCGCGGAGGAAGCACGAATGGGCACACCTGCCCGGTATCGGAGTTACATAAGGGCATTTAGAAATACTCACGTTATGGTTGTAGAGGGCCTTTGATTTAATGGTTAACTTTTAAATCTGTGTGGCTTGCTTCAGGTTTGGGACTGGAGTTATTGTGACCCAATTTAACCTGATGATGAACAGGGCAAAAAAACAGTGCAAAACCAAGCATGCGTGTGTAATTTGAATTTATGCCTCCTTAAGTCCATGCTGGATAGTCTAATATCATTTCTAATAGTAGAATTAAAAATAGCTAAGTAGGTATTCTGTGCCAGATCCTGCGCTGACTACTTGATATACGTCAAATTAGTTTACGCCTTTTATCAGTGAGAATGAGGGTCAGGGTTTGAGCCCACGACTGCCACATCCAGAGCCCTAACCACTACCCCTCCTGCGACATGAGTCAACAACCTGAATGCCTGCTCCAAGCTGAGGAACAGGGACGTGAATGCCAGCCAGGTTTTATGGACACACAGTAAAAATTAAACCAAGGAGGGTAAATAGCACTTTTAGTGTCCAAATACTTGTTATGGGCTTTCTCAGCACTTTACAGTGAAGTGTGTTACTGGCACTCCCTAATTGCCAACTTTGTGCTCCAGCAAAGTCAGCCCTTTCGCCAGCTGGACGAACACACAATACAATATACAGGTGATGTGTCATAGAATTGTACACTTGAAACCTATATAATTTTATTAGCCAATGTAACCCCAATAAATTCAATTAAGAAAAAAGAAAATCCTCATCTACACTATATAATAAAATAAAAATAAAATAAAATGTTTATAGTTAGCACTGGGAAAAGGGGTAGAAACTGAACAAATATTTGTTAAATGCATGAATAAATGAATGAATGACTTGGGATCTCCCACCATTCTAGGTTGTAAAATGGAAAGAGAATAGTCTTGGGAATCAGCCAGATTAGGGTATGAATCCTAGTTCTGCTACTTGCTATGTGATTTTCTTCAGGCCTCTGGGGGCTCTCCACAGTGAAAAGGAAGGCAGCCCAGAGAAATGTCTGTATCAGTTCCCTATTGCTGCTATAACAAATTACCACAAACTGAGTGGCTGAACTGCCTCCCCCGCCCCCCACAGATTTATTATATTATAGTTCTGGAGATCAGAAGTCCAAAATGGGTCTCACTTGGCTCAAATCAAGGTGTTAGCAGGACTGTGTTCCTTCTGAAAGCTTCAAGGGGAGAATCCATTTCCTTGTCTCTTCTAGCATCTGAACGCTGCCCACATTCCTTGGCTCATGGTGTTTTCTCCAGCTTCAAAGCCACTAGTGTGGTGTCTTTAAATCTCTTTGTGACCCTCCTCCCTCCCTCTCCCATCTTTAAGGAATCACCTTGTGATTACTCTGGGCTAGTCTGGATACTCTAGGATAACGTCTCCATCTCAAGGTCCTTACCTTAATCAAGTCTGCAAAATTCCTTTTGTAAGGTATCATGCTCACAGTTGCCAGGGATTAGGACATGGATGTCTATGAGGGGGGAGGGGAGGCATTCTCCTGCCTACCACAGTAGCCATGCAGCCAGTGGCCGCACATATCAGATTTGTCCGACAGACTGGAAGCATCTCCATTCCCCTCCAGGGTAGCACAGATACTACATTAAAAGTGCTCCCAGAGAGCACCCTCCAACCCCAAGAGCAGTGACTGGTTGTCTTCTTAGAAGGAATCTATTTCTACCTGAGGGTGAATCACCGGTCTTTCCACTGTGGGGCAGTGGAATGGTCTGGGTTATCCTTAGGACCCTTTACATTTTGTAAGAGAGTCAACTCCACCACCGCTTGGTTGAGTGTTGATACACATGTGTACTTGGCCAAAAGTCATCCCTTTAATGGTAACCTTGAGCTCAGTGCTCACACCACACATCAAATCTCGGGTGGGAGAAACACTATTCAAGGAGACCCACTGGCCTTTAAACTTGCCTCAGATTAAGCCGAACAACTTCCTTTTGGCTCCAGGATATTTGTTTTCACTCTATTTTGCTTTACTTTGTGCTATTAGACTATACTAGAGATACACCTTAAGAAAAGCATCGAGGAAATAATGGCATTTACTGTAACAGGTTTGTCGAGGATGTTCATTACACTTCTGCATACATTTCTTATGGGAAACCACCGAGAAAAATCTCAAAACTTGGTACTAGTTACGACTCTCTGTAATAACTGGTTATTTCCATCAAGTGAATACTAGCTCACCTCGCTGGTCATTTCCCCTGTTTGCACACAGTATCAGGAAGCTAAGTCCCAAGACTGTTGTCTATCGTCAGCCAAGCTTTAGGGCATCCTGGCCTGAGTTACGTGCACCAACTTGTCTTCCTTCCCTCACTGTCTCCTTCCCCCAGTTCCTTCACCTGTTTTCCATTCCAGCTCTTACTGTTGTGATGTCAGTAAGCCCAGGATAAGGCACAGTCAAAATTTTATTTCCAGAGCTTTTTTTCTCTTTTGTGAGGCACATGCTCCTGACACATTCCTCTTTGTTCCAGAAACAAATTCAAATGAAAAAATATAAAGACATGAAAGGAAACATCATCAGTGCCAATGTTTAAACACTGACTCTCAGCAGAACTGGGTTTAGCATCATCGTAAAGACTGACGCTTATGTTGATAATATGAAAACAAGTCTCCAACGCTTTGTATGCTGAGCACATTAAGATCATAAATGCCAGAATTCTAAATGGCTTGCTTGCTGTTAGCATATTAGCTGGCACTGAAATCTGTTTCTTTTCTAAGGGATGCTTAGCTTTTATTATATCTTTACTCATGGTCAAAAGACATTAGCAAATTTGCTAAAATGATTGAAGACATTCCTCTTAAGGCATTCCTAAAGTTTCATCTCTTCGCCTTCTCTTTTGTATGTGAGCTTATTTTCTCAGAAAGAAAAAATAGAAATGTGCTTTATACTAGGTAGGGTTTTGATAATGGTAGAAAGGCAATATTTTTAAAAATCAGTATTAGCATGACCTCCATTGAAAATGTCTTCAAGGTAGACACAAGCGTACGAGTTCACATCTGTGAGTTCATCAGACCACAGAATCACCAGCACTGAGAACCTCTCAAACCCCCCTAGATGGTATATCAGGACCTTCTCTTATTAAACTCTAACCCAAAGAGTCCAGGACATACTGTGTGTTCAACAAATACTTGTTGCATTAATGAGTAATACCTCTCACTCTCAGAAAGGCTGGAGTTCTCCAACCACAGCAGACCGTGACGGGACACAGTACTTGCCCTGTGGCAGGCGTCTAGTACGTACCGAGTGATTGTCACTGAGACATGTCTAAACCGTGGAAGAAATGTCTGCCATCCCTGAGCTCCAGAGCATTAATTTTTAGGTTCATTACTTTCCCCCTTGTCAGACACACCTGACAGATGACATTCGCATGTGTAGCTACCCTCGAGGGTGTGCTGAGGTTTATGTGAAATTCCCATTGTGCTAGTACAACCTCAGCCTCCCTCTCTCCAACTCAAGAAAATACATCAGAACACAAATGAATTAGGATGTCATTAACATGGGAACCATCTCGAACTCGCGGCAATTTATTGAAAGAGTACATCATCCACCATTGTGGCGTTTCAAATAGTAGCAGCGCAGGACCGTGAGGCATCTCGCAGTGACTGACAGAAATGGCTCGTTGCAATACCAAGACTGAGAGTGCTTCTGACGGAAACCATCTCTGAGACCCGCTGAGTCCTGACATGCCATCTTGGGGACCTTCCCAAGCTCCAGAGCAGCCGTCCCTGAGGCTCACCGTATCCGCAACGCAATCATCTCTATGACCTCCTCCGCCCACGTGAGCGTCCCCAGCATGACAGAGATCATCCCTCCTAATGGAAACAGCTCACACAGGCATCTCATTGTCACTCGGGTGTCACTCCACTGCCACCGCCATGACCTCAAGAAGAGGACTCCCAGGCAGTCCACTTACCACGCCGCCACCAGCCGAGTGCACGAGCACAGACATCCCTTCCCGGAGGTTGGCAACTTCAAAGAGCATCATGTAGGCTGTGACGAAGTTCATGGGGAACGCAGCTGCCTCGGAGAAGCTCATGTCGTCTGGGATCTTGTAGACAAACTCCACTGGCGTGCACACCACCTCTGCCCAGGCGTTATAATTGACAAATGCCATGACACGGTCCCCGATCTGGGCGTAGGGAAGCACAGGGTTAGTGGAGGTTGCTTAACCTTTATTGATGGGTTTCTCAAATACTCAATAATCTGATGAAGACTATAGATTCCTTCCCAGAAAGAACAAGCACCCAACCCCTCAAACATGCACACCCTCACCAGCCTCCCAATTTCAAGGCGTTTTTGGATGCTCTGAAGCCCATCTATAAAAAATTCCCACGGGCCATGGAGACAAGGTTCTTTACTCTTCTTGAGCATAAATACACAGTGTGAAGCACATTGCACACCTTGAAGTGTTCGTGTCAGAAGGTCATTTTACTGACTCAGCCTCTCATCTAACCTCTCTGTTTTGGAGCTGAGAAAAACTGAGCCATGAGAAAGGTTGCTGGGGCAAGGCTCGCAGTAAAATCTACTCTCGTTTGTTCTCTGCCACCCCACATGGATGCCCCGACAGGCTGGTTCACTGTGGTATTGGCATCAAAGGTTAGTAATGGATCACCGATCACTGTGGACATGAACGTGGTCATCAGAAGACCATGTAAATCTAAGTGGAGGACACTGAACAAGAGCTACCAGGCTTAGATCCAAATAGGAATATGCCACCAGGTGTGAGAACAACTATTATTTATGGGATATACATTATATGGCAGGAATTGTCCTAAAAACGTCTCATGTTTTAACTCAAAACCCCTATAAAGGGATGGCTGAGTACTCTGATTTATTTATCAGTAGTTTACATAGCTAAACACCACGAGAGAGAAAAAAAGCAGTTGTCCCTTTAAAGCAGTTATGGTGGTATGCTAAGTTTTTTTCATAGCATATCATTACTAAAGGGAGATACAAATAACTGAACTAATACTATTAGTTTGTAGGAGCTACAAAGTGCTAGCTACAGGGAACCATTCTGCTGTCTGTGTTAGTGGCTTATACTGTGACTTTCAAATGCAATATTGAAACTGCTGTGGTCATAATAAATTCTCAATAAATTAACAGCTTTCCTATATGTGTGCTTTAGTATATAGTGTGTGTATGTGTACATATGTAGTATTTAGTATATATATGTTTATCATTGACTCTACTGTTTTAATTTCTTTGTAGCTTAGCATTTCTCTTCTACCCCCTTCTCAAAAAACAACAAAAGTCTCCTATGAGATGGGTTCTGCAAGAATTTCATATTATAGATGAATGATTGTAGATTTTACAGACATTTAAATTGACGCAAAGAGAAATTCAAGTATAATCCCAAGGTCATGTATCTAGAGAGCAGCTGGGCCAAGATTTTAATCTAGGTAAGCCGACTCCATATAAAATAATTAATTCATTACACCTGAGATAAGTGCTACAAAAAAGACAAAATTATATAAGGGTGTATAACAGGTGAACCTACCAAATCTGGGACTGTTAGTTTAATTCTTTAAGCCTCCGTTTCCTCAGCTCTCAAATGGGTATACTGTTAGGACAGGGTCCTTATGAAGATTAAATAACATAATATACATGCCATACACTAGGCAGTATGCATGTAAGAAAAGAGCAATCAATGTTCACTCTTAGAAAGGCCAGATTGGTTCCTGATCTCATGGAATTCAGTTTAATGATCAGAAGCTAACTACAGACCCATTAAACCTCATGAAGCAGAAGGAACAGCTGTCTAATGAAGAAGCCGATGGAGAGGAGAGGCTGTCCCCCTGGCAATGGGTGTCTTAATCCCTGGAAGTGTTGAAGACCAAATGACGAATGTTGGGAATATCATCTTAGATGTGATGGTTTGGACCATCGGATCAATGCAGCCTAACACTGGCATCCGCTTTGACACAGAATCATGAAAACCCAAAGGTACAGACTCAGTACCCCAAAGTAGCCGACGGCCGCCAGTGTCCACATGGAGTGCAACGAGGAGTATTTCAACCACCGTGACAGTGAGGGCCACAGCCACCACGGCAGGGCTGACTGCCTCCCTCTTCTCCATTTCATTATCCAAATGGTAAAAGTGGCCAAGCCCATCAGAGTCTAGAAGTGGACAACTTTTAAAAAAAAATTCAATTTTATTTCATTATTTGATTCTGTTAAGAAAAAAATAAAAGTCCTGGATGACTGAGACCAAATTATTCTTTTACTGCTGTGCCTCTGGCAACAACTTTTCAAGCCTCTATTGCGATCGATCAACCAAGAAAGCTATTCAGTGTGCTGCTGCATGGAATTCCATCTCTAACGTGATTGAAAACCTTAAGTCAAAATTACAGAGGGAATCTTAGTGTTGGTTTTCTCCCAAATCACACCCTACTGGAAACCTGCAGGTGGTGTCTTTTATTTGAAAGTCACTGGAGGGAAGTGGAGGTGAAGGATAGGTTTGACAACATGCAAGCCAGGGCTAACTAGCAGAAGAAAGATCATATATATAAAGAAAAAGATATATAATCAAGCAGAGAAAGTTCTCCCTCTACACCAGGGATGGGGAACCCTTTTTCTGCTAAGGGCCATTTGAATATTTATAACATCATTCACGAGCCATACAAAATTATCAACTTAAATATTAGCTTTGGAAAAAGCTCCTAGATTTATTGAATTTCGAGTCCCGCCTGCGGTTGCCTTGGCAGGGCCAGACCAAATGATTTCTTGGGCAGTATACGGCCCAGGGGCCAGACGTTTCCCACCCCTGCTCTAAACCAAAGCCAACAACATTCCTATCTACTGTTAGAGTCTAAAATAATGCATTACTTATCCCATGCTCAGAATTAATAGAGTTAGTAGTATGATCTTTTCCTTTGGGACCATGTGGAGGAGTGAAGAACAGATAATATTTCTTATATGCAGCACTTTCTGGGAGAGATGGTGCTGCCTCTGTTATATTGCTTATCTGGGGACAGAAAATGTAGTCATACTAAAGAAAAAAAAATCACACATATACTACTTACTCAACATCTTTCCACTATATTATCTGAAAACCATTGACGAAAAGACTAATGGGTGAGAAGGGATCTCCAGGCATTCATCGTAATGAATTTGGAGCATATTAATATGTTCAGAGTACACTGAGGCTCAGATGCACTGAGACTGAGCAACAGGCTCAAATGCAACTCCAAGGGCGCTCTGGCATTTTATAGGATTTTTCTTCCTGCGCTTAGTTTTGCGGCATTTGCGGGTTGGGAGCAAGGGCAAAGATCACAGGATAGTGAGAAGGCTCTGGTGACCTGAATCCAGGTTCTGCTACTATATATACCACCTTTCGGACCTCACAGAAGATTACTGAACCTCATCTCTGAGGAGACCGTAACAGTGTCTACCTCTCAGGGCTGTGGTGAGGCTGAAAAAAGATAACTTGCCTGTGTTTCTGGTTATAGTGGATTCTCAGACGTTAGCTCCATTCATGTCTCCCTGGGGAAGCACTTAGTTATAAGTGAGAGCTCTTGTACCTAATTTCCATTGGTTTTTCTGACTCCAACTACTGCAATTTTGTGTGATTGATTTGCCCACAGTTTTTCAGTTTTTATAGACCGGATTCTATTTTATTTGCATTATAGTGGTAGAAAAGGTCCTATATCTTTTCACTGTTTAAATTTTTTTATTATGGAGAATTTTGAACATGTACAAAAGTAGTCAGAATAACATAATAACCCTTTTTATCCATTGCCCTAACTCACAAATCCACCAACCCATGGCCAATTCTGTCCCACTGACAGGTACCACTACCCTGTGGCTTTAAAATTTCACCCCAAATGCCACTTCCCCAATGTCTGAAATAATGATTATAAATGATTACTTAAATGCATCAAGATAGGAATATAGAGGCTATTTCTCCCCAACTTTTGTCTTTTGTAATTGATTTTTGAGCCAGAAGTGCTGAGAAAGTGTGAACTATGGGTGGGTGGAAAGGGTGTGCACACTTTAGTTAAACCAAGGCCAAATACCCTTATTTAATTTTTATGTAACATGAATAAGGGGATGACAAGATCTCCCCTGGCCAAGAGCACCAAGATGTTACATGAGAAAGGCATGAGACATTTGGAAAGTCCTATCACTTATAAACATTGTTAATAAGACCAGACAATAAGACATCAATAACAAGACACATAATAGATTACGTCAAGCATTTTTGCATAATCTTTTATTATCTCATTGGATTCCAGATTAATATTACTCTTTCAGTCAAAAGTCAGAACATTACCTCATATCCTTTCACGCTGTCCCCCAAAGCTTCAACAATCCCCGAGCACTCAAAGCCTGGCACCAGGGGAGTCTTGGGAGGGTTGTCGATGTTCCCTTGTCGCACCATCAAGTCAATGAAGTTTAAACCGCTGTGGTCAGCATATAAGAAAAGAGAGAACTTCAAAATGAGGTTCCAAAGCAAGCACTGGCCTGGCTTTTCTTCCCTTCCCTGCCCCACCCTTCCTCGCCCACCCCATCCCATTCCTCTCTCCTTTTTTTTTTTTCCTTTCTGGAAAAGTGTGCCTAATAGTAACATCACTTAGTTCAATGTCACCAATAAAGCAAAACTCAATTATCTCTATAGACAAGGAATGCTTTCCTGGCAGTTAAAATAGCCATTAGAGTTTATACTCTAATTCAAAAGATAGTCCCTTTGCCCTCTCTCAGAGCCAGCTTACTCTTACTTTAAAAACACATATTGACTAGCCTGGTCATTAGCCATCTGAGCACTTAATCGTGGGTAGAAAATACACTAGGAAGGAGTTATAAGAAGACACATGGAAAGCAGCCAGACACAATGGCCATTAGCCGACTTATGAGAAAGGGAGAAAAAAGACCTGATTTAAAAGGTCTCAAAACAACCGTCACTCCTCAGCTGTCATACGGATTTACATCAGCAGCGTGCCACAAACAGCACCCATATGGTGACTATGAGCCATCGGGAGACGACATGATGTCCAGCTGGAGGAGGGCGGGCTCGAAGAAGAGAGATCACAGGGATGGACCAATGGATGGGGGAGGAATGGAGGGTTCATTTCAAAATTTTTAGATATCTCTGGATGGGAGAAGTTATTCAGTGTTTTTTATTAACATATTACTTTTAAATTAAGAATATTATCATTAAAATATGTCAAAGTCATCACCTTGTAAAACCATATACTCAATTCTAATGACGCTCCAAACTATATATATTTTTTAAGAACTACAATTGGGAATTGCATTTAACACCCATTTACTAATCAAATGAGAAAACACATCCCAATACCTATGTATTTTTTTCCACCAGATGTGGTTCTAATAGACTTCCTGTTTTTATAAACCACCATCTAGCTAAGGAAGACTCCGCTTATGGAAACAAAACTCCTTGGTCTGACCCAAAGCCCGGTAACATCTGACCGCAGCTGCTTTCTCAAGCAAGGCAACTTGAACTATTAAACACAGCTTACCGATTTTTTTTCTTGGCCTCTTTGGAGACAAGGAAGCATCTAACTCCACCTGGTCTCAACTCATCAGTTTTATTCATAGAGAATGGGCATTAATGAGGAGGATGACTTCCGTAAAAGTTTCATTCAAGAATCACCATCATCTTAAGGTTTTCCTGCCCACAGTCAGGCAAGTTTCACTGGAATCCCTCTAATGTGAGCGCTCCTTGAAGGCAGCTGTGTGACTCGTGTTTCTTTGCCTCCAAAGCGCCTGGCACAGTAACATAGTAGGTACTCAAGTAACGTGCTGAATGAAGGAAAATTGGACCTTTGGAAGTCTATTCACACACATTTTAGAAATGTGTCCATTTCTCCGAGCATCCCTTGGCCACGCTTGAAAAGTAGTATGCAAACGGCAGCATATATTTTTGAATAGTCAGGAATATTCTCTATGTTATCCTAACACCCAACTTCCTGAACGCTTTAGAGTTTCCACTTCTAAAAATCTCAAACTCTATTACCGTGGTTCTCAAACTTTATTGTGCATCAGAATTCCCAGGAGGGCTTGTTAAAGCACAGATTGCTGGGCCCCATCCCTGAGTTCCTGACTCATTAGGTCTGAGGTGAGGTCTAAGAATTTGCATTTCTAACAACTTTCCAGATGCCGCTGCCGCCGGTGGTCTGGATACCACACTTGGAGAATCACTCCTGCATCATTTCTTTTTAAGCTACTTCAAGTCCTTTTTGGAAGGAAGCTAGCTAAAAATTAATAGGTGATTATTAAATAAATAAGAAAAGTAAAAGCTCTCTCATGTCCACTAGGGCAGTTGAATGTTTTATTGTAGTCCAAAGAATGATATGCACCCTTATTAAGTGTGGTCTTATTAGGTTAGGTTCATCATTCCAATCTGCCTGGCTCTTTCTTAAATCCTAAATTCTTTCATCCTTGGCTCTTTCTCCTGGATTTGTGTCCTTTGAAAATGTGTTTATCAGACCATTGACATCTATGTCCAAATTGCTGATAAAAATATTAGATGGGCTGTCATGTTCCTGGTTATCGAGGGTATTTGTGAAGACTATGAAGATGTCACGGAGGGAATTTAAAATACAGGACTAGCTGACAGGTTTAAAGTTTCTTCGAATCATGAGCTCTTACGATTCTATGAACTATCTCTAAGACACTTTGAATTTACGTGTAACAAGTACTCAGTAAGACCATTTATTTATACTCAGTCTCCCCTGGGGACACAGCAGGTGTTTATTTCTAAGAAGGTTCCTGAAAAAGCTAAAATCTCTAATGCTCCATGTTAGATGTTGACCAAGTCATTGACTTCCAGTTGGTACCTGGAAGTGATTGGTTATGTAAAACATTCAATCTAATTAAATTTAAATTCAGCAGTTCCCTCCATGGTTTGGGGCTTGGCTTCGCACTAATGTTACAACAGTGACAATGACAACTCTACCTCCCGGGAGTTCAGAGATAAGCAAATAAATAACTACACAGCATGACAGTTCCCCACAGGAGGTGATACAAGGGTCAGAGGTAGCACAGGGAGGGCAGTTATTAGCTCATTTGGCAGGAACCAAGGAGGCTTCCACAGGGAAGTATCGCTTGGGAATGGCTGTGTCGTCCCCCTGCCCCGTTCCTCGACTTCTCCAGCCTCACCCCCCCCTACGGAGGGGAAGAGGCACTATAAGGCAGTGCAAAGTGCTTACTGCTTGACTTCTCACTGGAGACCCAGAGGGACGGGGTCCCCGTAGAGAACCCATCCATTTTTGCTATAACATGACAGTTACCTCCTAAGTTCATGGCTGCTTATAAAAAAAACAAACAGCGTTTAGTAAAACATTTGTTTCAATAAGAAAAATGGGATGAAAAATAGGCAGCATTGTGTAAGAGGACACACGTCAGTGACGGAAATGTGTGTGTATGTGTGCTGTCCAACATGGGCCCGCTAGCCACGTGTGGTTCCAGAACATGTGAAATGTGACTAGTGTGATTGAGGGTCTGAATTTTTAATTTTAGATGACTAATATTTCAATGTAATTAGCCAGGAAGGAGGCAGTAGCAGAATCACTACCCTCCTGTCTTCCCCATCCATTATGAGCAACTCCAAGGCAGAGTGTTTTAAAACCCATTCTTTAGTGTTCATTGCTTAGCACAATCCAGTCTTGCAAACGACGATTCCTCCACTGGAGGCGTGAGTAGGGAAATATGTATGTAGAAGTGACTCAAGCTCCCGCCTTCTTTCTTCTTGCTAAAGGGAATTCTCTCTTAGCCGTGCTCGGCTGGCAGCCTTGCGTGTATGCTGGTTGTGCTCAGGGGGAGAAGGGAGACCAAAGACCTGCCTTACGGAGGTGCTTTGGGAAGAGCAAAGATTTACCCCTGAACAATGAAAGAATAGTTGTGAAAGGCTAGCAGAGACAGATGCAAGACAAGAGGTGGCAGGGCCGGGGTTGAGAGTCTGAGAGAGTTAGAAGACCACAAAGAGAAAGTCTGGAGGTAACAGGAGGCACTGGGGAGGTGTAAATGGAAAGGGAATGTTTTTGAGAAGTTTTCCTCTGGAGCATGAGTGGACCCAGCTTTTGTGTTTTCTAAAGGACCAAATAAGATTTGACGGTGCTTTTCAGGTATGTTGGCAGTTGGGCTTCCAGTCAAGAGCAAATAGGCCCAGCTACATCAAGGACACAAAAGGAGGGTGGGGAAGCACAGGAAGCGAAAAAAAGTCAAAAGAGCAAAAGCAAGAGGCTGAGTCTCCCCATAAGTGTTGCTGGTTGAGGACAGAGACGGTTGAGGCTCCCGGGGGATGCGAGGGTGAAAATTGCCTTTGCTCTTTCTTTCCCACGAAGCAGCAGTCCCAGAGGCAAAGACCGTCTCCTCTGCGGTCAGACAGAGAAGGTTCTCAAGGATCTGAAGGCAGATAAACCTGAAAGCACTGTCTCGGGAAGGTGGGCACGTTGCTAGCTGCGCTACACACCCCTGGTTCCCGTTCCGGCTGCCAAGGGTTGAGTCAGAGCTTATTCCGAGGTCCCTGATCAGAACACTTTTAGCAAGTGCAGCCAGGAGGGTAACAGAGGATCCAATCACCAAGTCGCTCGGATGAATCATAGGAACGGTAGGCTTAATAGCGTCTCATTAGCTGATTGAACTAGATGTAGCATAGATAAATGAAAAGCAATTCTTTCTCATCTTGGACAAGGGATCCTCTTTTTTTTTTAAGAATGTCTGTAAGTTGATGGATAGCCTTTTTAAGAAGCAAGTGTGTCTGTGTCGGGAGGAAGGGGAAGGCGCTGTGTAGAGCGCAGCCTGAAGCCTCATCAGCGTTCACTGTAGAATTCAGGCTGTCTCAGCCAGTGGGGCCCCCCCAGATATATATCTATTGGCATGAAGAGCAGATAAGCCTCCTGGGGGAAAGGAAAAACAAAAACTCATCCTAACAGAGATGTGAGTTGGAGAACATAAGCCTGGATGAAGAAGCCTATGGTGATGCAGGAGGGAGGCTTGGTCGGGAGTGTGGTGTTTGCCACCAAGGAGCTTGTGTCCGGGACAGAGCAGTAAAAGGCGGGTGCAAAGTGAGTGAAAGTGTGGCCCTGGGGAGACAAGCCTGGCTTATGGCACAGCTCCCTTTGCCTTGCTAGTTGTATGTCTTTAACAAGTTCCCTCACCTCTTTAATCCTGTCTCTTCAGCTGTAAAAGTTTAGTATCATAGAATTCCCCTGAAACACTTAACCCAGTACCTGTGGCTCAATCAAGTACTCAATAAAGGTCATTATGATAATAATGATAAATAATTAATGCCAAGAGTGTCATTACTATTAACTACAAACAACAGGCCTGTAACATATAAGACGTCCATGGCTTCAGGGTAAGGTAGGAGGAGCAGAACAGGGTGACAGGAGAGGGTCAGAATCAATGAGGGAACCAGGAGATATTGAGAGGTATTGAA